GGGGCTTTGGATGCTGTCCAGCTTATGACGCGGTGCGTGTTCTCGCCATCTGCGAGAGAACATAATAGAAGGGTTCAATCAACAATGATAGAATAAAAATTGCACGATAGAGAAAAACAGAAGTGAAATTGTTCCTAACTCCAGAGCCTCTGGAAGATAAGTACAGACGTCTCCGTACTGATCCTCCAGACTCTACTAAGTTTGCCCGTGACTCGTGAGACCTATATAACCTAGTGCTCTGATACCAACTTGTCACGCCCGAAATTTTCACCGTCGGGACCATGATGGTGCCTAACATTTCACTTGCTAGGCAAGCCAATGTTAGAACATATCATCCATTTTTAACAATTGAATTGAATAATGAGAAATAACTGAAATATCTGGGATAATCTGATATATAAATGCGAAAGCTAAAACTGTCAGAAACCAACTACAAAATCCCTGAACCTGGTGTCACAAGTGCACGAGCTACTAGAATAATACATACAATGGTCTGAAAGAAATACTGAGCTATCTGAAAAGAAATACACAACTGAATAAAAATAAAGAAGGGGACTCCAGGATCTGCGGATGCTGAGCAGCCGTACCTCAAGTCTCCACTAAGCTGATCAATCCAAGCACGCTAATAACCGCCGCTGGGACCGACTCCAAAATCTGCACAAGAAGTGCAGAGTGTAGTATCAGTACAACCGACCTCATGTACTGGTAAATGTCGTGCCTAACCTTGACGAAGTAGTGACGAGGCTAAGGCGGGTCACTTATACTACAACCTGCACGCAGTATATAATAATGACAGAAAATGGAAATATTGAACAGGATAAAACAGTCAACTGAAAATAATAACTACAGCTTCAAGAAGTAAACCAGTGTCGTCCAAAATTACCAATCCTTAGCATTTAAAATGAGAATACCGAAAATCAAACACAGCTCAAGAAATGGAAACACATAGGTTATTGCGGTGCGCAACCCGATCCCACTGTACAGTACAAAATCCTCTCTTATTTTACCCTAATAACATCAACATCAGAGATAATATATAAATATATTGCGGCGCGCAACCCGATCCTACCATATAACAATATCAGTATCATAGTTCACCTTTATTTCAACATATCAATCCACCCTTATTCCACCCGTTGCGGCGTGCAACCGATCCCACCGTATAGTACATATGCACCCTTATTCCACCATATCAATCCACCCTTATTACACATGTTGCGGCGTGCAGGCCGATCCCACCATATCAGTACCAAATATTCAATACACAGTCAAATCAGCAGTTCAACCAAAAAACCTTTACAATCAGTAAATACTAAACTGAACCAAAAGGGAACCTTGTACAATATAGAAATCTACATGAGTAATACTACACAGCGAGACCAATCCAGCAATTGACAATTAGAAGGTACAAGTAAGTCAACTTAAACAACTAGCAGGGAATTATGAAACTATGGAAGGACTAACATCATTAATATGAGAAGATATTAATAAACAAGTAGCGGTGAAGCAGGGAAAGCATTTAGAGCGTATAACCATTAAGACAGGGAAGGAAATGATTAAGGAAAAGCGGAAAATCAGGGAAAGCAGATAATTCGGCGACGTATAAGCACTCGTCATCTCGCATATACGCTCACATGAAATTCACATAGCACATAGTCCGAGGGTTCCTAATTCCCTCATGTCAAGGTTAACCACGACACTTACCTCACTTTGTAGCCAATTCAAAGCTCTAACGGGGCCTTTCCCCTAGAATCCGCCTCCAAACCACTCGTATCTAACCACAATTGACTCAATAATATCAAATATTGCTAAAGGAATCAATTAAAAATGCATAAATTTAGAATTCCCAAACTTTCCCCCAAAAAGTCAAAAACTGACCCCGGGCTCGCTTGATCAAAATCCGAGGTTCAGACCAAAATCTATTTACCCATTCACCCCCAAGCCCGATTATGTAGCTAGTATCGGAATCTGACTCCAATTTGAGGTCTAAATCCCCAATTTGGAAAAATCCCTAATTCTACCCAAACCCCCAAATTTTCACCATGAAAACACAAGATTTTAGGTTGAAATCTTAGGAAAAGTAGTGTAAAATTGAAAGAAAATGGGTTGAAATCACTTACCAATGAATAGGGGAAGAAAGGGTCTTGAAATCTTGGGCGAAGGTCCTGCCCCTAGCCCACTGCTCACAAATGCGATGGCCTCTTCGCAAATGCAAGGCTTGCATTCGCGAGCCACATCTCGAAATGCGAAGTCTACATATCTGATACACCAGCTGCTATGATTTCTAAGTTCAAAACACTCTGTAGCCTATCTGAAACTCACCCGATCCCTAGGGGCTCCAAACGGAACATGCACACAAGTCCTAAAACATCATACGAACTTGCTCGCGCGGTCAAATTGACAAAATAACACCTAAAACTACGAATTGAACACCAAATCGAACGAAATTTTCAAGAAAGCTTTAAAACTTCTATTTTCATAACCGGACGTTCAAATCACGTCATACTAACTCCGTTTTTCACCAAATTTTACAGACAAGTCATAAATATTATAATGGACCTGTACCGGGCTCCGGAACCAAAATACGGACCCGGTACCAACAAGACCAAACATCAGTCAATTCTTCAAAACCATTAAACTTTCAGACTTTCAACAAAAATTCATAACTCGAGTTAGGGACCTCCGAATTGGATTTCGAGCATATGCCAGGTCCCATATTTCGATACGAACCCACCGGGACCGTGAAAATATGGATCCGGGTTCGTTTACTCAAAACGTTGACCGAGGTCAACTCAAATTAATTTTTAAGGCAAAAATTATTATTTTTATCAGTTTTTAACATATAAGCCCTCCGGATCAACATCCGGACTACGCACGCAAATCGAGGAAGGCTAAAATGTGGTTCTAAAGGCTTCGAAACGCAGAATTTGATTCTAAAACATAAGATGATCTAGCGGGTCACCACAATAAAATTCAGTACATATATGATAGGCTGTGCAGTTGCCTAGGCAGAAACATCTCCTACTGATGAACTATTAACTGGTTTGACATTAATGGCTCTGTTTAGCAGATCTTTGAGCTGGATTATCTCATCATCTCTCATTTTTAGCTCCTCCTGAGCTTTCAACCTTTAAGGGCCACGGCGTTTTGTAAAACAAATAAGAAATAGCCACAACTTAAAACTGTGGGAAAGTAGGTGAAGAATAGCCACATGAAACTCAAAAGTGCTGCAGGTGAAAACTCAAGGACAATGTTACTAATGAAAATTACTTGAATGAAGTTTTACATTCCAATTCCTATTGAATGTATAAAATTCATGAGTACCAGCTCATTCTCTTTATATATATATATATATATATATATATAGTTTAGTAAATAACTTTGGACTATGTCAAAATCATTATTTTGATCAAGCGCCAATGCAATGTCTTTGATGCCAACTATCCTTTCTTCCTTCTTTGCGTTGTTGTTGCACGAAAGAATTTAGTATTGGGGTCTCCTCATTTAAACGTTGAATCCTAGATTTAATTTTCAAAATTTCGTCCTCTTCCTTTAGGAAATATTATAATCTTGAAGTACTTTTTTTCAAGATCAAGAAGGAACTGGCTAGTTTGATAGCGAGGAGATCGTTGATTAAAGAGGCGGCGGAGTCAGGATTTTAAGTTTATGGGTTTGGAATTTTAATCGCCTTAAGTCATGGTGGAGCCAGAATTTTCATCAAGGGGTGTCAAAATATAAATAATTAGATACATCGAAAAATCATGGGGAGCCAACGTATAGTAAATATACATAAAATAAAAAAAAGTTATCTAGCAATATAGTGTAATTTTCCAACGAAGGGGTGTCGCTCGACACCCCTTGGTTCAATGTGGCTCCACCACTGCCTTAAGTTACTGGGTTCTAAATTAATAATTTATATAAACTCAATGAATATTTTTAAGACAAATACAGGGTTCGAACCAAAGCTACTGAGTTCGGCCGAACCCGCTCTCGACACTCTAGCACCGTCCTATCGTTGAATGCCATCTAGTGTTGCCAGAATCTTATCCCTTTTTCAAAAAATGTTAATAAGTACAAAAACGAACAATGTTCCCGTTGGTAGCAATTGACTATAGTATTAGTTAGATTCTGACATTACTAACTAAATTTTTGAAAGTTAGGTGGCTAACCTGCATGCTTTCAAATCTAAACATATTATGCTTTCTAGTTCCTTCAACAGTGTTAATTAAGGTTAATTAATAACATAGCACAGTGATCAGAGTGACATCTAGTAAGAACTCTTGGTAGTTTTTTTAATCTAATGGTGATTTGCATGGCATCGATAGCGTTCTATTATTAGTCCAAGTGAATTTAGAACCTTTTCAACCTAAGTCTAGTAGTTGGCAGCGACCAATGCAATTTTTACAAGTTTCTCGTCCTAGACATACTTAGCTGATTCCCCATAATTTTTCATTTGCAGTCGAATTTTATTAAAGTCCCCTGTGCTATTAACAAAGCACTGTTATAGCTGGTTTTTTTTTTTTTTTGTTTTCATTAGATTGTTCGAAAGTATGAGTCTATTGTTTAACTTGCATAAATAATATAAAGTAGCCAACGAGTGTCACAATTGAAACTACTTTTAGCTTGGTGTACATGCACTTCCATGCTAATGCCTGTGTTTTGAAAAAGTTTTGGCAGAGACTTCCATGTCCATAACAGTTAACGCAACTCAACTAGCTAGTGAAAATCAAAAAAAAGAAAATGCTACATTGTTTATTAGCAAAAATCAAGATTTAACATCAGTCATTTAATTAATAAAGGAAATTACTACTCCACACTTAAACTTGTTGCAGGCACAAGTAAATTGAGATTTCATCATAAGCCTAATATAGTAGTGCTGAGTACTAGAAATACATTGTTCAAAATGCAATGTTTTGTAAATGTCTGCAACTCCGAATTCTTTTTTCATAATACTATTTAGTTTTGTCACTAGAACAATTAACTTAATTATTCATTGACACAAGGAAGAAGATAGTAGAGATTATTAATACAAAAACAACAGCTTCTCAGTTCTTTTATATATAACCAAAGATCACGACATGCTACTTCTTCATAAACAAGAGAAAGATAATTAGAAAGAAAAAACATGATACTTGATTAATACTCAACTAATCATGCTTTAAATATAAATAATAATCGCTTCAGAATTGGCCATCTCCCGGGTGATTGAATTGGTAAGGAACAATTGAAGAACAATAGTCGATAGCAGCCTGATTCAAGAATTGATCTTCAGCCCCAAATCTAGCAATATTATTATTCAAAGTTGAAGCTGTTGGCACTACTGAAGAACCATTTATCATACTCAATTCATCAGCTCTCAGTGTTATTTTCTTCTTCAATTCTTCCAATGCACCCATAAATTCTTCAAGTTCCTCAATTCCCATATCATCAATTGATTCATTCCACCAAAATCCCTCATTATTACTATTATTATTCACAATCTTTGAATTTTCAATAATCTCTTTTTTTTTCTTCTCAGCCTCCAATTCTCTACAAATTTGAGAATAGTATTGATTGTTCTGTTGCACGTTGAGTTGATCGACCGTGGATGAGGAGGAGGACGATTTTCCTGTGAGATAACGGTCGATAACGGCGTCAGCGTTGGGATGACCGAAAGCGAAAAGACGTTGTCGTTTTAAAGATTGAACGAGAATAGCGATTTCTGCACCGCTTAAGATGCAAAGTTCGCTAGCTTTTTTGAAAAGTCCTAAACGCCGTTTGGAGAAAGTAACATGCCTACTATTTTGATTGTCAATTGGCTTGATTGCAATTTTCCTCCGTCCTTGAGTTTTCTTCATGGTGCTAATAGTAGTGTTCATGGTAGAGGGAAGAAGAAGATTAATTGGCTTCGTTAATTGAGAACTTGTTGATGTATAATATTTTATAGAGGAGTTGCTTGGTCTGTAAATCAAAGATTTTTTACCATTCAAGAATCGGAAAAGATTTGTTTACTCGTTTTAGTTGTAGTTGTAGGAACGGGATTGGGTTTTAATTTGGAAAGTACTGTAATATGGAACGCTGTTCTAGGAAAATTAAAAAACATATGGAAACTTTTCCATTACTTTGTCACTTATTGGAAAGTAGAATCTTTAATATATATATATACTTTCCCATAATTTTTGTTACTAATTGGAAAACTAGAATCTTTAATAGGAAAAGAGAAATAGGAAAAAAATATTTATGGTAAGTGGTATTTTTTTAAAATTTATTAGATATGAAAGCAAAATACCCATAGGCGCGCGCACACAAAAAAAAAAAATTGTACCTTAAAGTTCCCAAACCCTAAATATTTTCGTCCATGGTTGCTGCAATATTGGATTGCTTGAATTCCGTCACTTATTGATCAGATTTGATCTTTACATTGATTATGTTAAGTTTTTATCGAGATCAACTGGATATGTCAAGGCAAAAGGTGATGACTTTTTTTTCAGAACTTTTCCATGGACGTTACGATTCAATCCGAAAGAGGAAACGTCCATGGCATACACTGTATGGATCTCTTTTCCTGGTTTGCCGCCTAATTTCTTCGCTAAGAGGTCGTTAATGTCTATTGCTTCAGCTGTTGGTAAAGCTCTTGCTGTGGACAAGGCGACGCAAGAAAGAACACGACCTAGTGCTGCTAGGGTCAAGGTAATTCTTGATTTGCTCGACAAACATCCTAAGAAGGTTAAGTTACAGATTGTGGACAGAATTTCGGGTAAAATAATCGTGCATTATCAGGAGGTGGTATACGATAATCTTCCAAAGTATTGCACGTATTTCAAACATCAAGGGCATGACGAAAAAGTGTGTCGAGTGATGAAGGAACAATCTAACAAGGAGGTGATGGCAGAGGGTACTACAGTTGATGTCAATCTGCCTATTATGGAGGAGGACAATTTTGAGCAATTACAAGGTGATGCTAGGGATTATTTAAATTCAAAAAGAGCTAGTCAAAGAGTTAATGAAGTACCAGAAAGAGATACCAATAGTGGTAAGCTGGAAGTTGAAGCACCAAAAGGAAACTCTGTCCTGCAGCAGGTATCGCAAACAGATGGAGGAAAACTTGTGAATCGTGCAAGTATTGGGACCACTGTAGGTGAAGTTTCAATGATTGATAAAGGTCCACCTAAACCTTCACGTGATGTTCCTGCTAAGACAGCATTAGCAAGGATTTTTAATGTGATGAATCCAGTTGTGCAAGCCTATGATAAGCAGAATTTGTCTAAAGCTGCAACTGGTCTTTTCACAAAAGTACCAATTGATCCTAATGTCAGATTAGTGAATCAGGAGATGCAACAATATGTAGATAATGAAGAGTTGGAGTGTGCAGCTGCTATAGGCTCAAAGACTGCTCATCGAGATGAGATTGCTGCACAAATAGGTAATGTAGAGGATGGTTTGGCAGAGGGAGATCGAGGGACAGCTGGTGTTGAGCAGATTTTACCTGTTCCATGTGATAATGCAGTACCTGGAAAACAATCAGCTACTGTGGTGTCAAACTTGGAAGCTACTGTTCCATTGAATGTTACTAGTGATCGACTTGTAGCTGCGGTTTCAACTGATGCCACTGGGATTGTTGATATGCAGGATGGTAAGGAGCTTGATCGAGCTGCATCAGTGGTTGATGGAAAAGCGCAGAATATATTGCAACAAACAGCTACTACTAAGCCTAAAGATGGTACTGTTTGTTAGAAGTAGGTGCACGATCTGTCACACCTGATATTCTTGAAGTGCAAACAGCAGGAGGTTTTGAGACTTTGGATTGTGCAGCTGTTACAGCTTCTATGGATGTGAAAAATTCTAATGGAATTGTCCAGACTAATACTAGAGTGTTGAATCCTATTGTTGCTTTGAAACCTACTGCTGGGACATTGAATGATAGTGATGATCGAGTTGATACATCTAACAAATCTGGGAATAAAACTACTGTAAAGGATAAAAAAGATAGGGCACATGATCAACATAATGCAGCATCTATTGATTTAGGTTGTAAATCAATTGGTTCTAAAGCTACAACTGGGCAAGAACGTGAAGTTTTGGTTGCTGCTATAGGTGGTAATCAAGGTACAGATGCAAGAACAAAAACTAAGGAAATAATGCAGCGATCCAGTCATGTAAATGTGAACAAAGAAGTTGGCAAGATGATTGGAATTACAGGCAAATCTGGACAAATTTCAACAGACGCAGCAAACGGTTGGGCAGTAGTTAATCGATCACCTGACAGGAAGGTGGCGTCAAGTCGTAAAAATCTGAAAAGTGCAGAAGAAACTATCAGGTGTTCTAACTATTTTGATACATTGGCCAATGCACAAGACTATGGTGAAAACGATGCTGAGAACAATTTAGAATTTGTAGTCTCACAATCTGGACAGAACATCTCTCCAGCCACTGGTAAACAGCAGCACCAATCAGCCTTAGTTTCCAGCAGTGACAAACGAGATCAAGGCAGTGGTAATGTGACGAAAGAATTGATTGTTCGAGAGGAGCTAACGGGTAATCAAGCACATAGCTCCAATGCTCCGACCTTGCATTTTTCTAGTCCACAGGTGGAAAAAATAATCAAAGACACCCAGAACGCGATGATGTTGCATACTAATATGGTTAAAACACCTCAGTTTATGAAGTGCCATCACAGTCGTTGGAGTCTTGTGGTGAATATGGAGGTGAATTGATGTTGTCATCTCGAAATAACAATGAAGTTATTAAGGCAAATTTGAGGGAGATGGCAATCAAATCTAAGTTATGGGCAAACCAACGCGAGTATGATGATGAGGAAGATTATGGTGATGCGTATGTTGGGAATTCGAGTGAAGAGGATGACCAAGAGAGTGAAGATGAAGGTGTGATCTCAATTGGCTCACCATCAGTACCTAAAGTTGGCAGCTCCATGAAAGTGAATTCCAGCAGCAAACTTAATGCAAAAGCACCAGTTTTTGTGCCTAAAACTGGAACGCAGCACATTGGAACAATCACAGCAGGTGCATCGCTGATGCAAAATGTAACACAAGATAGGCCTGGGCAACAACTGAATAATGCAATCACACCAGTTATAACATTTATGGAGGAACAAAATGCAGCAACACCATTAGCTATTGATCAGCAACAGCAAAGTGGAAAAATGCAAGATGCTGCAATATCAAAATCAGAAACTGGACAGCAGCAGCAGGAATTTGTAGCAGCACTATCAAGTGCTAATCAGGAGAAAACAACAGCACTATCAAGTGCTAGTAAGCAGCAACATCAACGAAATCCAAACACTCCAGCTATGGTTTCTACTGATGATAGAAAAGGAGCAACAACGTCAACTGCTGGGCAGCAACAAATTGTGACATCCACTCCAGTTATTTCATTAGAGGAGAAAAAACTTTTGGATGCAATGGTAAGTTCAGATCCTCGAAACTCTTTAAATACAACTGCTTTTAGCACTGGTCGTGTGAGTAGGAGCAGAAACAAATTGCAAAACATAGCACAAAACAAGGCAATCTTAGATAATAAACAGGAAGGAAACATTATGGTGACACAAGGTTTTGATCGAGACATGCCAAATCCGGTGATTGTGGGCAGAGATACATATGTAGAGGGTGAGGAAGATGATATCCTAAATCAATGCCGGGCAGAGGCAGCAAGAAAAGGTGATTTATTACCTATGCATAGTGGAAAAAGTAAGAAGACTCGAACAAGGGAAAAAAGCTGGGACGGTAGGGTTAATGAAGATGCAAATATAAGGCGACTCCCAATGAGAGTTGCCAAACAAAAATAGGTTTATACAACTACGTCAACAAAGTCCACTCGTTCAAAGAAGAAAGCATGAAATTTGAAGACATTTTGAAGAGGATAGAGGATGAAGACAAGTGTTTACAAGTTGAAAACTTCACAAAATTAGAGAAGAAAGGACATCACTGTTATTTCTACATATTCCTATTCTACCATCACATTAGCATAGTTTTATGTAATATCATCACAGAGTATGTTATAAACTCTGTGATGATAATAAAATATCTAGTTCTAGCTAGTTCTTTCTTTTTACATGTTTGTTAGTAGGTGAGGTTTTTTCTTTGCCTCAATAGGATTAGTAAGGTAAGGTTTAGCCCAGTTTGTGTTGCTCTAGTCCTATGCCTTTGGAAAGATATCCAAATGGCTATGAGATTATATGCCCTCGTGAGACTTTACCGACAGCTACACCATGATTCCTCTACATGAGGCTGCCATATAGGGCATTGTGAGGCGCAGAGGAGTGATTATATAGCCAAGGCATAGAGGCAACATTACTGGTGCTATTGTCCCCCTTATTTGTACTCTTCCTCTGTGGTTCTTTTTGCTTTTTATTATTACTAAAACTAGGCCTAGGCTCTGCCCAGTGGATTGCTTAAAAAAAAAACTATATACGAGAACTATACCCAAGCATAGGAGGCTCACTTGGCGCACTCTAGTCCAGATTTTCAAGGTTCCAACTAAGACCATCAAGAAGTCATCTCGACAGGTAACTAGTGCCGGAGCCACCTCGCTCCGAGGGTTGTTAATTTCTTATTTTTATTAAAAAATAACATTGTATAATTAGGTAAATATTATTTTGATATTCTTTAGTGAAAATTCTGACTTGGACACTATAGGTAACTGAGAGATACTACCCAAAGATGAGCGTGGATTTTCCATAGCAACAAGAAGATGTTGGACGAAGTTGCCATAATTCCTTCAAAGCGTCGCTTGGCAACAAGATTGCTGGGTTCTCCACCCATCTTATGAAACACATTGATTGGAAGGGACCAGTTAGAGGCAAATTGCTAGAGGAGGAGGAGCGTGAGAGACATATGGAATTTGTTAAGTGATACCACTGCAACATAATATATATATAGCTATGAAATCTCAGCTACAGATTCAAAATTCGTGGCTAATACCTAACAATAGCTACAAAAATAAAAATTTCATAGCTATTTATAAAATCCTAAAATTTCATAGCTACGAAAATTGAATTGGCAAAGCTAATTCCCTATTTTTGCTATGATTGCTAACTATCGTGGCAATATTTTTTTTTTTTGTTGAGCAAACAGGAAATAATATATTAATAACTAC